CTGTCTGACCTATAACAATTGACCAACCTGCTAGAAGGAGCTCTCAAGGGGCCCGGGAGCAGTCTTGTCAACGCGGCCTTATCCCTGCATCATAACCAGCTGCTTGTGATAGTATGTTGTTGACAAAGTGAAGGCGTCTGAATCCTGGGTGCTTGCTAAGGGCGTAAAGGTTTTGCGCTAGGCCCCCTTCTGTTCCCCTTGTTGTCCTTCGTTCCGTAGGGCATTGTAGTTGTACGACAGTACAGTAACACTGCCGTTGATGCACTGCAGTTGTTAATGATGATGATGATGATGACCCAGTATAGCTCAATGGGTCGAGGAGGTACGCAAATCGTCGCATCACGTTAAGGTCCAGTAGCGTTACTACGGTACACTCTAGTGATAACGCAATAAACCAACTAGGCACACATTACTAATGACTATATTTGAGGCCACCTCTGGGTCCTCGGAAGACAAGTGACACGCTGAAGTAGATTCTAGGCTGCTCTTTTCGAGTAACACATGAACACAACAGTGATCCACTTCGCCTAAGGCGCACATAAACAGCTTCCGCACAATCATCAAGAGAAACAGTACGCCAGCACGTATCACTGTCGATTTTCAGTCATGGTTGGCGGCATCCGGTTTCGGATTTGCCTGTCACAGGACGTTTGCGCCTACAGAGGGACCATGGGTGGCTTGCGATGCACCACGCACAGCTCCAACCACACACCCCATATCCAGTGTAAACCTGAAGGAATAAGACCGGAAGGCATGTGGATGGGAGCCACGTTTCATCAACTTAGCCGGCCCACACTCCTTCACAAGCAAACACAAGTACGCTGTATTTGGGAAATCAAGCGCACACAAGGCGGTGGCTGGACCGTAGTCCGCTCCACACTGAGTGCATGGAACCACTCATCCTAGCACGGCCACAAGGACCGTGCACTCCGTCCCCTCCAGCAACGACCAACTGTCTCCTGGAGCTAGTATGGACGAGGTAGTGGGTAATAGACAGATAGGCACCTTGTTAACATGCACATCAAGCGCAGCCACACCGGGGATATCAAGCAACAGCCAATCACCTGGAACGACAAGATGAAATAAAACAAATCCAGTAATGCATACAGATACGGTGGCATAACTCTAAGCTAAATAAGCATATGAAGTAAGTTGGTTAGCAACGAATCCGCGATAAGGAAAAAATGTCCATAAGTTAGTTAAAAATGCTACAAAACGCAACAAAGTTACCAGAGATAAGCGCAATTAACGTAAGCAACGTGGCCAGTTAATAGAAGAGTATTCAGGTGGGCAGAACAAACCAACTAAAGTGGAATGAAATTTAGCCAGCTTAAAAAGATCTAGTTTAAGTGTAAGTTGGTTTAGCCCAACTGCGGTGAAGAAGCATCAAGAATGCAACATCAGCCATAAAAAACTACACCGATAGAACGGCAACATTCTGAAAAGAAAGAGTGTTCTCAACTCGAGTTTCTAGAGTTCAAAACATTCACTCCTGAGCTCACCATGATAAATAAGAAGCGTTAGATGTGCTCCTTATTTCTCCGAGAGATAGAAACGAATATAATTAAACCACGACTGTTTTATTTAAGGCAAAATTCCTTGGCTTAGCCAAGAAGAGGCTGAAGAGCATGAATTAATAAAGTTGTGGTGCCCCAATAGTCAAGTCAACAACGCGCTTTATGCACCCATGAGAAGTGAATATACAGCCACTACACACACGCTAAAGACATAGATAGAATTAAAGAAACGTATAACAAGCGAATACGGTGCGCCAGTAATTTGAAAAGGTGGCAGAGGTGATATAATCGATACAGTTTGGTAATAACTTCTGGTTTGATTACAACTTGATCCCTCAGTAAACATGACAAATAGGGAACAACTGACACACCGTAAGCTCGTGTACGGACATAAATGGTTTGGTAAGTTTGTCTGGTCAAGTAAGTCAAGATATATTCCGACAATTCACTATGAAGTGTGACTGGCGTCAGTGAGCATTTCAGACGCCAGATATTCGCAGGAGCGAACGTGATTAACCGCAATGATGTCAGTAAACTCCAACATTGAAATTTCACTACACCGAACAAGATGCCTCAGTAACCTGTGGATCATTTTGTATTGCCCGTTTAAAAGGCAAGGAAATATCACAAGTGAGCAACAGGTCCAGTGTGGTATTACGCAAGCTGTGACAAACCGTAGGATCAAATAACGAGGGACGGATGAAGATCTAAGTCGGGAGACATAGAACGTTAATCTACTGACTTTAGTGATGGGACCACGTGAGATCCCGACTTAGTGTAATTCCCAGATATTTCAGATGTGCAAGTTAAGACTGACACTGTCAATACTAAAATGCGGAGTGTGTGTCAATAGCTGTTGAGAACAATTTTCCTTGGACAACGAGAAAAGAATATCATTAAACCTTGATGCCTTGAGTGAAAGACAGTGGGATCTGGACCAGGCTGCGAGGTTGTCCAAGAAGCATTGCAATTTGGCCGATGAATCTGCGGTGTTAGTGTACAACAAGAATCATGCCATCAACATACTTCAGCAGGATGGCATCCGTCTGAGCGAAAATGAACTAATGTAAGTGGAAAATAGGAATAGGGACAAAACAGCTCCATAAAAAACACCTGAATTTGTGGTGGATGCGGAAGATTTTTCCCCAAAACCGGGTAAATTGCTTCCGATTTACAAAGTAGTCCGTAAGAAGAAATACTAATGGAGTTTGAAGTTCGGAAATGAGCAAATTGTGTAACAGCAGATCGCGGTTTACACGACCGAAAACATTGATGTAATCTAGAAAGCAGATTCGTGTGCGTTGTGTTTACTATCGAATGATGAAAGCACGGAGTTTGCAAGACAGACTGATGAATCTAAAGTGGACCATGAACTGCGGTAGGCGACCTGAAAAGTGTCACTTGACTTAGTTTGGACAGGCCTTCTTTCTAGGACAGTTAGTTCAAATGTCTTCAGAGCCACCGAAGTGCAAGCAATGGGCCGGTGTTTACAGGTTCTATTTTTGGTACAGGTGTGATGGCGCTTCATAAGCATTGGACTATCTTGTGTTGATGTAAGCACATGGTGTACAAGTCAAAAAAAGGCTGTGCTAAGATATTAGCACATTCCTTGAGGCATATAGGAGATAGTTCGTCCTGACCGGGCGCTTTGCACGACTATATCCGCGTTAATTCCTTGCGTACCGTTGCACTATCTATGGGAGTTGAAGGTTGTGGAGAGAGCTGTAACGATAAAGATGATAACTGTGATGTTTGGTGCAAGGCTGGCTAGACGAACAACCTCCACGTAATGCCAGCTGGGTGGTTCGGGTTAATCCCGTTGCAGCAAATAGTTCGGCAGCAGTGTTCCAGGACATGGTGGGTTTTCGTCTGGCAAGGGTCTTGCCTACAAAAAACCACAAAGGTCCGTTTAACAACACTGCGAGGTGGCGGATGGGACTCTCCACTAAATAAAGTCATTGTCTCTTCCACTTCAGGAGGATGCCTACGTCCCGAACGTCATCCAATTCGAAGAGTACCTTTGATCCCTTTATACGATGGCGAACATAGCAAACAAACTCACGAATTCAGTCACACTTCACAATTTCACTCACCATGCAAACTAACACATACGTTTACATATATAGAGACACACAAACCCAGTAGGTTACTGGCTAATTTACTATACTTTTATACTATTACCAACCATACATGTGTGTATTCTCATGATCATGTCTTTGCAGGCGTGCCCCGCACTGCCGGGAATAAAACATACATTTAACAGACCCCAAAAGTTGCGGTTTAATTCATCTACATCGAGAGCAGTGTGTGTGTGTATGTGACGCTGAGGACTCCACTCAGCTTCTTCATCATTTTCCACATTTCCCTGCAAGTATTCTTTCCAAGCATACTTTCCAAGGCATACTTTGGTTAAGGCGAAACATTTCCCTTTTTATATCAGCGGACAATGACTTTACCGAAGCGGCGGTTTTGTGCCTGAAAGCTTTTCTTAGAGTCTGCGAAGTCTTTTAAGGCACTAAGATGAAAAGCTATATGCGCGGATGAGTGGTTTTCAAAGGACAACGAATATCAACGCAGAAGTTCAAATAGCTGGTTAACTGAGCACAGTACTTCGATACATCAGTTGTAAAATCGATCGAAGTCTGTAGAAGCAATCGTTTGGCATAGTAGCTTGATGTTTCCAGGAAGACATTGTATTTGCGGTAACGCGATCATAATATCGTTGTAATAATAGTAATAATATCTTAATAATAATATCCTTGTAATTCGCTTTGTCATATATTATGGATAACTTTATGGTGGCATGGCCTGAGCTTCCAAGCAGTGCCTTGTTACAGTCAGAAAACGTTTTTAGGTTGTTGACAAACACAAAGTCTACAGTTGCTTGTAACTGGTTACAGTGTACGATGTCCTTCAGTCCAAGATTGGTCATGAAACTAGTATCGAATCAATTGAAGTCCCCGATAAAAATAGATAAAGAAAAATCTAGATGATGATTGACGGTACTTATGAAATCGGCATACAAGTTTTCAGCCTCAGCTACAGGACAACTGGTAGAAGTTTAAATGTTAGCTAATAAAATCGAACGATAGCTGCTCAAGTATCGAGGTTTGGACTTCATAATGGACAGTTAATGCGCAGCGCACAATGACGAAAAATAAATTGTCGACGTGCACTATGAAGAAATTATGTATGTACGTCACTGCCACTGTGCCTTTGTATACATAGGCGGTCAACGCGCGTTGTAAATCTGGCAAGTGCCAAAAAGGTATCTTTCACGTCATCGTGCAGCCAGGGTTTTTGTAGCATAATGACATCAAGTCGGGAGTATTTCAAGCTCCCCTAAATGTACCACAAGCAAACGGATATTGGTATTGATCAAAATAGGTATACTCATACAGTTTTCATCGAAGTGTAATCCTCCATCCAGCACGGTACTTTCTTGTGGAATTACTTCGTTTTCTTAACTTTTTCTATTTGTTTCATACAGACTGACCAGAAAAAGTGCTAGGTTCATGTCAGTAAAAGCGCGCCGATTTTTCAGAATGTCGCGACTGTAGGTAATCAGGACGCAATCCGCTCAACGAAAAACCGATGAATTAATATAAGAGGGTAATAAAATAGCGAAGATGAGCGTGTGTCGATAAATCCCACCGAATTTAGAGGCCCCGCTACATAGTATGCACTGTTGCATCAGGAGCCAGTAGCATAAGGGGAACGGCTTGATGGGGCTGGAAAGAGTCAACTATGGACCAAACCAACATCTTAAATCAAAGTAGAACACCCATAGGTCGCAGATGGATATGAGCCAAGAATAAACGCGGAGGCGATTCTTAAGTCATGCCACGTCAAGATGAGCTTTATGTACTCGGATGGGTGTATTTGCAGCACTTTACTGTAGCAAGTGCAGGTGGAGCAAGATGATATCATCATAAGTGTACGATTGTACAAATAGACAAACAAAAGCAAAATAGGTGGCATCGTTGTCACTCGAGTAAACGACCCCGCATTCCCGGAAAACAATCGCACATGGCTGAATAGAATCCTCCGTATTTGTGTCCAGTCGAGAGGGCAAAGTTTTGCTGAAACATTTCCTTATAATTGGTTTAAATTGGTCTAAAACGTCGTGTCCAAAAGCAACAAATTGCAAAGTGTGCGGTAGCTCGGCCTTCATATGCAAAATATGGATAGAGCAAGAAGGTCGCAGTAACCTTGGAAATAGTTTGACCAAAGAGGTTATCAAAGTAATCTTGCGAAACCGATATACTCACAGTAGATAGCATAAGGTTAATGTTCAGCGAAAAGGTAATGGCGGATTTAAAGACTCAGATAGACGAGGGCTACGAACTACAGTGCACTACGCAATATCCGTGAAGGCGTTTACAGATGAGTAAAGCGCTGCTTCCACGTGGTGACAAAATACAGTTAAAACAGCGGAGAGATTTGCAAAATAGTAGATGGAAAGTGACCCCAGTGACCAGTAGGCTATACTAAGTTGCAAATACTTTATTCGCATCAATGCGAGGCATGCCTGTATAGTTAAGGTAGCTTTCGACGAGTAAATGTGAAGACTTTATGTCGCAAGTAGTTCTATGAAGAGCCAATGGACAACCCTACTGAAGTTATGATAAGAAGAACTCAAACAGACGCGGAAGGTACATCAATGGAAAAATTAACTAGGTAACGCTGATACCAGATGTCTAATGAAGAAAAAATTAGGGATCGATGCACTTGTACTAAAGTATATTTCACTAATGGCCTCAGATCGCAAGGTTCGAGGTGAGGCGTCAAACAGTTTGCTTTTATTTAGTTTATATCAGGAGCATATAAATACTCATAAAATACAGTGAGCGTTTTGTGGTTATCAGCTAACCATACCTTTTGTGTTGGCAAAAATACTGGAGAATACTGCAAATGGTAAAGGAAAGTTGGTCCTACTGTTCCAGGTGAAGACGCATAATAAAGTCAAGCAAATATCGGTCAGTAATATGACAATAAAGGAAGAAGAATGGGAGAAGAGTTGGGACTTACACTGACAAAGGGGAATTCTTTACCAGCATCCTCCTGACAAATGGGATGATACACCTTATCTTGCAACAGGACAGCATCGCGTAGCATCCATTCCTCTTCGTCGTGATCCCAAAACACATCGAACTTCTCATAGCATACGGCACAGATCTGAATGAAGAAAACATTAGCTACTTCAAACGACGCAATGTGCATCCCAAGAAATATCGGTGATGAGCATGATAGGAGAGCGAAAACCAGTTGACACGAACTGCAGCATTATACCGATAAAGGGGTTGTGTACTTTATTACAGGTAGTGAATGCGGAACAAGCAATAAGGTGTATTCACCAGAATAGCGAAGTCAAGGCAGTTTAGTGAGTAATAGGAGCCTGTGGGGATGAACAATTATACGAGTACTTTAGCATAGTCAACAACTGAGAATATATGCTTCACCCCAATAGGGTCGCTCACAGCAGACGCAGCGTGGGTTGTATAGCATAGAAGAAAAGGGCTGGGCGTGATAAGCGGTAATGAAAGAATTAAGTAATTGGACAACTAATATTAATACAAATGATACCAATTTGATGAAGGTATCGGTGGCAAATCAACCTAAACCAAAATAAGAATTGGTGAATAGGTCTTCAGTGAAACGTTTATCGTTGTGACAGGGTTTTCATCATACAGAATGGCTTGTGGCTATTAGATAGCCCGATAACGTAGAATGCATTTATTAAGCCTACTAAATACCATGGTTCTGTGCGGCCAGTCAGTGCTAGACTGTTAAACGCAAATCTCTCAGTTCCTACCTCCCAAACCTTCCGTTTGAACAACCAAATGTACGTATTAGCCCTATATAAAATCAAACCTTTCCCATATTTTTCTTGTAATTAATTCAGGGATCATGTAGATCAAAGCCACCGCAGCCATAGTACTTGGAAGTAAAAGTAGTAGCTGATCGGCTGTAAATATAAGTATAAGTGATCGATATGTAATAACACAAGTGAATATAAAAGGACTTATGGAAGGTTCCATACAAGCTGCCAAAATGGTTATCCAACATTAGGAAGGAGTTTACTTGTAGCAAGTGAAGTACCGGAACCGACGTAAAAGGAATTTGAGCAAACTGGTATACAGGATGTGATAGAGTGTGGAATAGAACATAAACCGGTTAACTACTGAAAGTGTATAAAAGGTTTCGTTAATAAGAATTCAAAGCAGGATATGTTTTCTGCTAGGAACAACTTAGTCGGCCAAAAAAGACATTGCCATTCTTCGTTAGAAAAACCGGTTACCATGAGGCAAATCACCCTATAAGCCAAGCTACCAATGGACAGTCGAAATTGACTAGGAGACGCTAGATTGAACAAGTAAGTCAATAAGACGAGGTCTGAACTGCGTGGTAGCTACCCAGGATAGGGTACTACAAGGTACTCGATTAGCATGTTGTGTATGGTAGTGAAAGCAATATGCACAACATGCAGTTTGCAAACTGTGGAGGGTGCTGCAAACTAATGCTCGAATGCCGTAAGAGCTACTGTTATGCGCACCAAACACGACAGTCAACAAACCTAGTTCCTCCCCGGTGGTAAATGGCGCGTGTATAGCACATCAAACAAACTCACTCGACCACAATGACGTGATATGGCTGTGGTTAAGAGATTGGTAGAGCAAACCCAAGGAGTCCCATGACGGTATGCAGACACTTGACGAGAGCTAGATCTCGGGGCTATCCATAGCGTAGGTATCAAAATCTTTGGAACGGGTGCAACTGAGGGACCCAAGTGGTTCCGCCAACGGGAACGCGGTAGTCGCAAGCACCACATGCGATGTGACTAAACCACCTCAAATGGAGGGTCGTTACGAGCCTGTTGGGAGGAAGGTTCGTATTGCCTAAGACGCAGTGCTCCCAACACACACGAGCTATCTTTCACAAACACCCGGTATCAAAGGTCGAAAGTCTACGTGTGTCACTCCGACGAATCAGCTAGAATTTGCTTCCATACGACATTGCGCGAATACAGGAGTTGTAAACCCTGCTCCTTATTGTGAGTGAAATATCCCGAGGACACAATAGATGCCTTAGATTGGCGAATGCTGATCGGGTTTTGGATATGTAAAGTTTCACTTCAGGTGGTGTCAACAACAGCAACAAGTACATCACTGGTTCGCGTTGCTGTAAAGTCTTCGACTAAGTACACCAGGTCACAGAGATAATTTCAGTCTGATAAGCGAGACGAACCTGTGGCACTCAAGCCGGTGGCCGGTAAGTCAAATTCCAACTGCCAAGCCAATGACTGCACTCCATGAACACATGACGTTCGACGTCCGGAAGACAAAGCATATGCCTACTGGTAAACAGTGGGCATGACAAATGTCCTAACCAATTAATTAATCTAACGAATTGGTTTGGTCATCAATGTTCAGTGAGTGTATGCACATATAGCTGTAGACACCCAGATTCCGTACAGCATGAGCATAAGCAGGATAGCCAGGAAGCTAAATGTATCGGAGGTACTCAAAGTAGGGAGCAAAGTTCACTGGTGTAGAGGACGGCCATCACTGTGGTCCCACGTACACGATCTTGGATAGAATACCTTTTGAAGTCAAGTTCGTTCAAGTTGTGAGTTAGTCATGATCAGCAGTACGCCGGTACACAGTACCGACGCTTCGCTGCCGCGCAACCACTACCAGGCGCAAGTGGGCTAAGAATACTGCGAGGGTCGCCCGGTCCCTATGAAGGCTCGAACCCACGACCTCGGATTACAAGGCAGGCTTGGGATCCTTAACGCGACGGGCCGGTGTGTCATGATCCGAGGATCGATGGATCCAGCACTTGGCCATAAAAGTAAATGTCGAGGGGTCGTGGGTTGGGATACTGTTAGAGCTGGGGATGTGAATAACTAAGAGACCCCATACGATAAAACGGCTGTCTGGTACCTTACCAGATATGGTGGGGCATCTGACTTGGATGGTACTGCGATTAACTCCCAATACAGTGGTAACAAAATCTCGTACTCATTACCAAGAACAATAAGAAACAATTAGGAAGAGCGAAGAAGGAAAAAGCAGCGCAAAAGATTGCGGATAAGATTTCAATGGAAAAAATGAAAGCGTGTGATAGAGATGTGAGTAGGTCAAAAGGTAGAAATAAAAGACCTAATGTAAGAGTACCATCAGTCTTGCCACAGCATCATATCAAAAGTTCACAGCACAATTGCAGTCGATCCCGTGGGCACCATTCAGAGAGACAATGGGCACCAGTTCAACCAAGTTTTTCGGTCAGTTCTTTCAAGCATCTTCTACACATTACTCGCTGATTTTGAGGACGCTGCGCCCGACCAGGCGCAAAAATGAACAATACACACGGAGGTTAAAGATCGGTAAACGTCTACAGATAATCCACACAACACAAGTGGTTTAAATTTAGAGGACGGTCGGGCGAAATGCCCGAGAGTTTGTTTTCAAGCTGAACCTCAGCATCACTCACCCAGTGCACCAAGACGCCAGCGATAAATGTGCAGGCGTTAGACGTAAACAGATCGGTTACTCAGAGTGGATGACCGATGATAAGGATGTCTTGTCGTATTATCGTGACAGTGTATTGTACGCTAAAGGTGTGAAGTACATGGCAAAGTGCACGGCACCATGTGGTAGTTTCTCCGGGACTGTTTACACACGGAACCGATCACACCACAGTCAGTCAGCAGAAAGGACCTCTATACAACAAAGGCAAGAATGGGTCGTTGATGAAGTTTTTAATCACAGAGATAAGGCGAAAGGAGCAGGGCCAATGATGTAGATTCACTAAGGTATGCCCAGCTCTCGAAGTATGAACTAAATTCATTAACCACGTGCTAATCAGTGTTAGTGCAGTTGACAAAAGATAGTGACCAAACGACTAGTTTCACATTGTCAGGAGTCAGAATAACCAAGGAGCCGCTGAGCCAGCGACAGCAATTTGCGCACACTATGAAGTAGGGCCAATCTGGATAGCCTGTTTACTTATGAGTTCGCTGTCCTTTTATAGCCCAAAGAAGAATAGTCGCGTCAAAACCTGCATAGGAGATCCTACAAAGAAACACTCGTCGGGTAGCTTAAGATTAAATAAAAGTGGGGACACTGACGAATCCCACTTATTGACGGAAGGGCGCCAAGGGAACGTCAAATGGAGATACATTTGGAGGAAACATCCTTCCGAGTGGGATTGTTTAGATTTGCAACTAAGGAGTAAACGATAAAATCGTTAGATGAAGTAGGTAAAGGCAAGAGATAAGGGAATGGGTGCCAGAGATCCATTAAGTTGGTGATTGCGCAGTATCCGATATAACATCATCATCATCATCAGTACAGGTTAGTTGAGAGTGAGAAACACACCTCAGATAACGTGCTGCAATACAAAAAGATAAGAGACTAAAAAATTACACTGCAAAAAATATGATGTTAAATATTACGTTATGCGCTTTGTATGAGATGGGAATTGGAGAGGGAACCTAAAGGGAGGTGGATGGACAAAGAAACGCAACAGAAACGCCATTGGGGCGGGCTCCTAACCATATCAGCAAGTGTGTCCAACCAAACGTGTTCATGGTCCTTAGGACCCCAGCTAGACAGTCGGGATGTACCAACCGACGCCAACTTCGAAGTGAGGGTTTTCATTTCTCTCGACCAAGTCATCGCTTGGCTTCCCATCCTCCTCTTCCAACCGCACCCACAACGCGCAAACAGTGCATGTCGCGGAAGTCGGTGTGCTGCCATGCGCAACAGGTGGCCCAGCCATCGGAGCCTGGTGCCAAGCATTTCACTTGCTCTTCCTGCACGAAATACGCGACGCCGAACACGCTCATCGATCACGTGGTGCTCCCACCAGATATGAGCTAAGAGGCGGAGGCAGCGATCATCGAACGTGGCTAGCCTCTTTATGTCTGTCGACCTGATGGGCGAGGTTTCACAACCGTATAGGAGTGTTGAACGGACGGCTGCATTATAAACTCTGCCCTTCAGGGCGACAGTAATGTCGTGTCTGCGTCACAGGTGGCAGAGATTGGCAAAAGCACCTGAAGCTTCTGCTATACGGATCGTAAGCTCATCTTCGATCCCACGTGCGCTAATGTAGCTTCTCAGGTACTTGAATTCCTGAAGGACTTCTAGCCGATCACCACAAAGCGTTAG